AGAGTTCATAGGGCCACAGTGAAATTATTTTTTTTGGGAGGCAAGGGGAGGGGGAGGGGGCAACTTTGCAATATTTTGAAAAGTTCTACAAACGTTAAAAGGCCAAAACGAAATATCTCAAACTTAGAAGCCTTTCCCTGGAGGAGCTCCTAAACTTTATAAACAATTTTGGATGATCAAGTCATTAGAAGTGAGATACGAGCTCTCTTCACATCCTCACCCACGTGCAATTCGAGATCACACAAGGACTAATAAGCTAAATTGAAAAAGATAGACAAACGAAATACCACAACTTCAAATGTTTGAAATATTTAATTAGCGCACAAATGTTGATATCATATTAAAACATTCAATCCAACATCGATCGATATCGAGATTGACCCTAATCTTTGGCGTTCTTTTCACAATGTGGTACGTTTCCCCCTCGAAAACACAATCGGTTAACTACGATATCCTAGATTTTTTCACTATGATAATCATATTGTAAGGAGTTCAGCAACAGAGAGGAGAGAGAATTCGTACACGACTACTCTAAAATTGACACACGAGGAGAGTAAATCCACCAAAAGGAAAATCCTCCAACAATTTGCTTGAGGTCTCCTCTAATTCTGCACGTCTATGTCTCATTTTACTACAAGAATTAGGGTTTTTTGAGATAAATTTTATCTAGCAGTTGTGTCCACCGTCACAAAAAAACATATTTTGAAGAAAAAAAATGATTTTTGTGACGGTAGTGAAATCATACAACATGCCTCATCATAATAAGTGAAGCCTTAAAAAGTCTTTGTGACGGCAACGATCGTTTCAAATATTATTTATGACAACAAATAAACCTAACAGCGCTATTGTCTACTAATCTAAAAATTTCCAAAACACGCTTTTTTTGTGACAGTGAATATTGTAGCTGTAAAAAACTTATCTCAAAAGACCATAATTCTTGTGGTTTTTCTCAATAAAAATCCCAAAATTAACTCTTTTTTTTAGAAATTTAAATTTAATGNAACATGCCTCATCATAATAAGTGAAGCCTTAAAAAGTCTTTGTGACGGCAACGATCGTTTCAAATATTATTTACGACAACAAATAAACCTAACAGCGCTATTGCCAAAAAAAAAAAAAATTTCCAAAACACGCTTTTTTTGTGACAGTGAATATTGTAGCTGTAAAAAACTTATCTCAAAAGACCATAATTCTTGTGATTTTTCTCAATAAAAATCCCAAAATTAACTCTTTTTTTTAGAAATTTAAATTTAATGAGGTTACCAAGGAATACAAGAAGACCTACACTATTTACTTTCAAGTGGTGTATAAAGGGCAATGCTAGGTATAACACAACAATTCTGTCATACAACTTCTCATCATTATATTGTTTCAATGCACAAGCAGTTTTGAGAAGCCATATTTTGCACGAGCAATGTTACAAAATTCAAATAAAATTCAAAAAGTTGTAACTCAAATGCATATCNTTCTCATCATTATATTGTTTCAATGCACAAGCAGTTTTGAGAAGCCATATTTTGCAGGAGCAATGTTACAAAATTCAAATAAAATTCAAAAAGTTGTAACTCAAATGCATATCATCTCTTGGATGAGTGGATCCCATCAATTTTTTCAATGAGATCCACTCATTCCACACTCATCCAAGGGATGATATGCATTTCAGTTTTAACTTTTAGATTTCATTTGGGTTATGTAGTATTTTTCATTTGGGATATAGAACTAGGATTTAGGTCTTTGTTGACAAATCCTTTTAGACAAACATTTGGGAGGGAATTTAAGCAAATACAGAAAAGTTTGGGCGGCCAACACTTTGAATTTGTTATAATTTTAAAAAATTTATATCAAACTAGGAGATTTTTCAAACGTTAAACAAATACCTTTCTTGCAGTCCGTTTAAATTTTCTCCCTGACAAACTATATAAACCTACTCGGTACAGCTGATATAGTAATCTACTAATCTAAAATGAAGATTTTTTTTTTTTAATAATCTTTGACCAGGCCTACTATATATGTAGTTTGACTTTTGCAAAAGAATAAGAACAAAATGAATAACAATGAAATCTATTGTCTATGACCAAAAAGAATAATAATAGAAAGCTAATATCTATCTTATGCTTGTGAGAGGTATTGAAAAAACAGGAAGAATAGTCATAAACACTAAAATAAAAAAAAAAAATTGTGTCTAAGTTTGGTTGATTTTAATATGAAAAACCCAATACGGCACGAGATGGCTCCTTGGACCATCCATCACAGCAATGCTTAGGCATATGTGTGATCTCATTTTTCCATATCATACTCTCTTTCTAACATCATCATATTCTCTATAGTTCACCTCATATATAAATGAGCCCATGTTGTATATAATTAGGTTCATATCGATTCATTTATTAAGCAACTCTGACTAGTTAATCCCGTTACTACTTGAATTCGTTAAGTCTAAACGTATATCTAATAACTTTGTGTCGATTTTATGTTGACGAGTTGTGTTGAAAATTAGCAGCAATAAGGGTTGGTTTTCAAGTTGTGTAATTATAGGGTAAGTTTTAGCAGTACAAAATCTATATNTCCATGTTGTATATAATTAGGTTCATATCAATTCATTTATTAAGCAACTCTGACTAGTTAATCCCGTTATTACTTGAATTCGTTAAGTCTAAACGTATATCTAATAACTTTGTGTCGATTTTATGTTGACGAGTTGTTGAAAATTAGCAGCAATAAGGGTTGGTTTTCAAGTTGTGTAATTATAGGGTAAGTTTTAGCAGTACAAAATCTATATAATAAAATACTTAGGAGTTTTAATTTTTATCTCATACATATTTTTTCCCTCAAAATCATCTCATCATTCAATTCTATCACATGTTTAATCATTTAATATTTGATTAATTTATAGTTTAACATAATTATTGTTTCATACATCCATACATGATAATGTACACATGTTAATAAAAATTTGTCGGGTTATACATTTTGAGAAAATTTTGATGTTATTTTAAAAAAAAATAATAGATAGAAATTAATTATAAATAATGTAATCAAATAAATGAAAAAATAAAAAATTATTATTTAGTATAATAGGATTAAGTTTTTAAACGATCAAATTTTATGTTTTATAGTGCCTTCAAGTACGGATTATAACTAGTATTCTCATNTATTTTGATGTTATTTTAAAAAAAATAATAGATAGAAATTAATTTTAAATAATGTAATCAAATAAATGAAAAAATAAAAAATTATTATTTAGTATAATAGGATTAAGTTTTTAAACGATCAAATTTTATGTTTTATAGTGCCTTCAAGTACGGATTATAACTAGTATTCTCATATGCAAAATATTTGTTCATGTAACTTTATTGTAACTCAAATGTTACAACAAAATTAGAAAGGATGAAGCTAACTATGCAAAGTGTCGGTGGTAAACAACTACCAAGAATTCGAGAAATTATTTTGTAAACTTTACTCCACATATGTGCCAGTGTACGTTTGTATAAGAAACGTTTTGAGGGGAAAAAGGCTAGAGATATTAAATCGCCATCAATTCTAAAAATTTAAAAATGTTGAAAAGGGTGTAACTGAAGTATTTATATTTCAATACTTACAATCTAAAATGGTCAAGTTAGAAAATAAAGTTTTGCTCCAATTGCATTGTACCATGAATCACTATGTAATCCCTTTTTGCTCCCTAACTTACTAAGCAAATGGTTAGAAAAAAGAGATGAAGAATTGTACATCTTGTGCATTGCACAANGGGAAAAAGGCTAGAGATATTAAATCGTCATCCATTCTAAAACCTTAAAAATGTTGGAAAGGGTGTAACTGAAGTATTTATATTTCAATGCTTACAATCTAAAATGGTCAAGATAGAAAATAAAGTTTTGCTCCAATTGCATTGTACCATGAATCACTATGTAATCCCTTTTTGCTCCCTAACTTGCTAAGCAAATGGTTAGAAAAAAGAGATGAAGAATTGTACATCTTGTGCATTGCACAAGTTTGGCCGCTAGNTTCTTTGATGGGAATGGGATAACTCTTTCAAAATGAGGCTTGTTTTTACACTTTCAAGACAATGCTATGTACATTCATGTGACATTGCTTCACCTTTTTTTTGTCTAGGTACCATTGCATCAATGATTGCTCTAACAGAATGAATTAGTCCAATCAGCTTTTTGGGTTGAGAAACTTGTGCTATTCTCCTTCAAATGTTGACCTCTATTCCACATCACTCCTATTATTGAGTTTTAGCCATTGCTTGCTCAATCGATTAAATTGGTTTCACATTGCCCTACAACAAAACATCAGTTATACTGTAAACTCCAAAGGGTCCCGTCTCATTAGTATTTGGGAGAAATTAACACAAAATACTTGATAAATATAATCATTAATTTCNTAACAGAATATAATATTTATTTTCCGTCATATTGTACAAGACACAATGACGAATGTTGAGTCATGAAAACCTAAAACTTTCATCAAGTCACAACGATGATGACCTATGTTTAACAAAGAAAGTACACTCTATAATACAAGCCATGTGCTCTAGAAAAAGACCACCTTGTTTTTGTGCATCCCCATTAATTATGGACCATTAATCTTTGTATGGCACATGGTTAAATGTTTAGTAGAGAAAAAAAAAATTCTTAATCTTCTTAATGTGTAAAATTACCAACAAATATGTATATCGAGTTAATCAGAATGGTTCTTGCGAGTACCCAAACTTAGGATCTCAAGACACTAACACCTAAAATGTTCCCATCCAAAATAGTATCACTTACCGACAATCCAAGCCATCTCCAACCATGGAAACAATATTCAAAAGCACAATCAAGGTCTCATCCAATCCACTTGCAATCAAAAAAGCAAAACTATTTATTACCAAAATAGGACCCCCACCCCCTAAAAAAAACTAATAAATCAATTTTTTTTGTAATAAATGAATGATTGAGATAATAAACAAATAAAGGAGACAACAAGAAGAATCTTGATTTCATCATCTTTATCCAACAAAAAAGAAATCTTGATTTCATATCCAACGGTTCCCTTTTTTGTACAGAATCCAATCCTTTACCTTACAGAAACAACACATTATTACAACCCATTTCACAGATTTACATTTTCTCCCACCTTTTCCTTTCTATTTTTATGATTTCTTTTTTATGAAGTTCTATTTCTATATGACCATAACAGTAATTTCAACTGGTCCAATACATCAAAAATAATAAAATTTTAAAAACAAAAAACATAATTAAAGTGAGCATTTTTTTAAAAAAAATAAAATAAAAATACCCATGTGATGTGAGGATGATTTTATTTTTTATGCTGAAGCACCAAGATGCTGAGTGCTGTTGCCAATTTCCTTGTTTACCCCTGATTGTATACCATAATAACGAACATACCATTTGACAAACTTTCTCAAACCAGTGGCTAAGTCGGTAGTGGGCTTGTACCCAAAGTCCTTGAAAGCCAGGTTAACATTAGCATGAGTAAACGGAACGTCGCCGTTTCGTGGCATTCTCACCACATGCTTCTGCGCCTTCACATTCAATAAGCTCTCCAATATCCCCACCAGATTCCCCACCGACACCGGCGATGTGTTACCCAAATTATACACTCTCAGCTGCGCCGGAGCTCTTTTCCGGCCACCACTCCCTGTGCTCTTCTGTGCTGTGTCAAGAGCTCCGAGACATCCCTTAACCACATCGTCAATGTACGTGAAGTCACGCGCCACTTCTTTATCTTCCTGAGTCTTGTAGATATCTATGGGTTTTCCTTGAAGTATGTCCCGTGTGAAGAAGAAATACGCCATGTCTGGTCTTCCCCAAGGTCCATAAACAGTGAAGAACCTAAGGCCAGTGAGAGAAAGTCCATAGATGTGATTATAAGTGTGAGCTATTTCTTCACCAGCTTTCTTGGTTGCAGCGTAGAGACTCGCAGGTTGATCAGTTCTGTGAGACTCAGAGAATGGTACCTTTGTGTTCAAGCCATAGACAGAGCTTGAAGAAGCCCAGACAATGGCCGGTTGTGGGTCAGCATTTTTCGAAACTTCGAGGAGATTGACGAACCCGGCAATGTTGGAACTAACGTAAGACTGAGGATTCTCCATAGCGTAACGAACACCAGCTTGCGCCGCCATGTGTAGAACATGGCTGAAGGGGACAATATCAAACAGTTTTGTGAGCAATTCGGCGTCGTTTATATCACCATCGACAACGAAAATCTCATGTTTTTGCAAAACGTTTTGGCGGGCGCGTTTGAGAGAAGGGTCGTAGTAGGAGTTGAAGTTGTCGAGCCCAAGAACGCCGTCGCCGCGTTTTTTTAAAGCTAAGGAGCAATGGGTCCCGACGAAACCGGCGGCTCCTGTTACTAGGACAGAGAATCCGTGGGGGCGGTGAGGGGTGGCGGAGCGGCGGACTTGTTTCTCCCAGGCGGCTCCGCTGCCGTAGAAGGCTGAGGAGAGGAGGTTGTGGCTGGTGTGCAGGTGGTGGTGGGGGTTGTCTGGATGTGGGTGGTAGTTTAGGGTGAAGAAGAAGATTAAGACCAGAGCTACTAAGAGAGTGGTCCGGAAGAGGAGCTTTGAAGAGGCTGCTAAAAGCTTTGTACTGTTCATTCTCCTTATGTAGCTGTGGTAGCGTTCAAGTCTAGATGTTTTGCTTGTGTCCGGTGGAGAAACCATTGTGTTAATTTGATTGTTCTGCAAAAATTTAGAGAGAAAAAACAAGAAAACAGAGAGAAAGATCTCAAAGAGAGCTGATTTGAGGGAAGTCCTGAGGTGGAAAGAGGGTTTGTAGATAGGCTTTAAAGGGGTAAGCCTTGAGAGAGAGAGACAGAAGTTGGTGTTGTTTGGAGACCACTTTCTTTTTCACTTTAACTCGTTTCACTTGCTTACAGATGGACAAGGGGGCCTACAACAAAGGCCTTCTCAATTAATGCCCTTGATCTTTCGTGCAATCACATATTTATGTTATGCAAAATACCACCTATACATATGGGCAATGATATTTAATAAAAAATTTATAATATACAATATAATAGGTTTCAAAAAGTCGATCCGACAGTTTCGAATACGCTCATCTAACAATCATAACTATTTCTCTTAAAATTATACATATTGCACCGTGTCTTATCCCTAAAATTGATAATATTTGGTGACTCTTAAAATTATCGTCATTAATTTAATTATGAGTCTCAATATTTATTGAGACCAACTATTCATACAATGGTTGTTTTGGGTCATTCCGTACATATACATATAATCACAAAATTTGATTAAATTTAAAAGATATTAACAAAAATTAAACTTAAAACGTCTAAATTTATTATTTATTATAAACTCGCGTACCATCAACCTCTCAATTCCAATTTCTCTTATTTCTTATTCAAACTTAGAAGTCCATATCTATTCCAAGTTTGATACACAATTTATAATGTGATTTTATAATTTCAAAGAATTTATTTTTGAATTTTCTTCTTAATTTTGACATATTTCTCGCAATATCTATCCGTAAAATTCATCTGGTTGGTCTAATTCCGGGATTCAGTCCTGGTTTAGACACGAATATGAAATCAAACAAAATTACCAAATGGTCCATCACACAAAATTGCTGGGACCAGCTTACCTGGTAGGGACAGGATGAAGTGTAAAGGTTAAAATATTGTTGCAAATTGAAGGAGGACGTACATGAGAAAGTAAATCCTTAATATTTTTACATGATTTTTATTGGCTCATCTCTACCATGTTTGACTCTTCCATATCCATTTACTTAAATTTATAATAAAAATCAGGCAAACTAGTTTATCGAACGATTTCAAATAAATTCATCTAACGATTATTAATATTAATCTTAAAACTATTCACATTACATTGTACCTTCAAACATGTGTTATCCCTAATTAATCTATGTCACTGTGTCTCGTGGCTTCTATGTAATGCTTTTATATTAGAATTTGTTAGTTTTGCACAAGGGATGATACTATAAGTTGAAAGATAAGAATTTAAGATAGGAAAAACAATGAAAAAATATGATACAAAAATATAATGTAGTTTGATTCAGTGTACTCATCTTGATACATCGTACTTACATCTATGGACCAAAAACATACATAAATGTATTACTTACCGAAAAATTGGTCAAGTAACTTATTATATGATACTCAACCCTATTTATAAAGATAAAATAGTATAATCCAATAGAATTTGAATATTACTAAATCTCTATGTTTCCTATCATGTCACTAATAAACTTATTCATGGTCTATAAAGACCCTTTCAATACGTTTCCTATTCCATTCAGAATTTTCACATTAATTACCCAATAAATTATCTTTCATGTAATTAAAGGGTTTAAGTTATATTTTAATACAATAATTGTCAAATTTGAATGATAACACTTGATTGAAAAGCATCTTAAATTTTTGGGGATTCTTTTAAATAAGTTTTGAGTGCAAATAAAAACCCAGGTACAAACTTTAAAGTAGAGAATATACTTGGTCCCACGTGAGAAAGCTTAGGTTTGAAAGAGAGAAAATTGAGGAAAAATTACATGGGGCGGAAATTGAATTATCTTAAACTTACAAGTACTTAATNATTGTTTTGGGTTATTCCGTACATATACATATAATCACAAAATTTGATTAAATTTAAAAGATATTAACAAAAATTAACCTCTCAATTCCAATTTCTCTTATTTCTTATTCAAACTTAGAAGTCCATATCTATTCCAAGTTTGATACACAATTTATAATGTGATTTTATAATTTCAAAGAATTTATTTTTGAATTTTCTTCTTAATTTTGACATATTTCTCGCAATATCTATCCGTAAAATTCATCTGGTTGGTCTAATTCCGGGATTCAGTCCTGGTTTAGACACGAATATGAAATCAAACAAAATTACCAAATGGTCCATCACACAAAATTGCTGGGACCAGCTTACCTGGTAGGGACAGGATGAAGTGTAAAGGTTAAAATATTGTTGCAAATTGAAGGAGGACGTACATGAGAAAGTAAATCCTTAATATTTTTACATGATTTTTATTGGCTCATCTTTACCATGTTTGACTCTTCCATATCCATTTACTTAAATTTAAAATAGAAATCAGGCAAACTAGTCTATCGAACGATTTCAAATAAATTCATCTAACGATTATTAATATTAATCTTAAAACTATTCACATTACATCGTACCCTCAAACATGTGTTATCCCTAATTAATCTATGTCACTGTGTCTCGTGGCTTCTATGTAATGCTTTTATATTAGAATTTGTTAGTTTTGCACAAGGGATGATACTATAAGTTGAAAGATAAGCATTTAAGAGAGGAAAAACAATGAAAAAATATGATACAAAAATATAATGTAGTTTGATTCAGTGTACTCATCTTGATACATCGTACTTACATCTATGGACCAAAAACATACATAAATGTATTACTTACCGAAAAATTGGTCAGGTAACTTATTATATGATACTCAACCCTATTTATAAAGATAAAATAGTGTAATCCAATAGAATTTGAATATTACTAAATCTCTATGTTTCCTATCATGTCACTAATAAACTTATTCATGGTTTATAAGGACCCTTTCAATACGTTTCATATTCCATTCGGAATCTTCACATTAATTACCCAATAAATTATCTTTCATGTAATTAAAGGGTTTGAGTTATATTTTAATACAATAATTGTCAAATTTGAATGATAACACTTGATTGAAAAGCATCTTAAATTTTTGGGGATTCTTTTAAATAAGTTTTGAGTGCAAATAAAAACCCAGGTACAAACTTTAAAGTAGAGAATATACTTGGTCCCACGTGAGAAAGCTTAGGTTTGAAAGAGAGAAAATTGAGGAAAAATTACATGGGGCGGAAATTGAATTATCTTAAACTTACAAGTACTTAATGTTCTCTATGGTCAAGAAAGGGGTCCTAAAATTCTATTATTTTCATTACATCATTCTTGGTTGTTCTTGTTTGCTAGCCCACGTTTCGTCACCGACAAATGTATTTAAGGTCTAAGACATCTTTCATGTGTCTTAAGTAATTGAATATGAAATGCAGATTTTGATATGTTTATGGTATTTATTGGTATGTTTAATGTTAGTAGGATCAAAAGCTAGTTTGGTCCCTTAACTTTTTCAAAATGACATCGAAACTCTAATTAGTTATTTAAATTTAGAAATGACTTATGTAGTGCACAATTATACATTGCCCTCCTAGCAACGCAACATTAAGTAATCCAGGCCAACTCAAATTACTGACCAGTGATAGATAATCATATTTCTTTGAGGTACAAAATACAATGAATGAGCAAAATGAAGGTTGCATTAATGGTAAAGATCTCTGAAGANCGAAACTCTAATTAGTTATTTAAATTTAGAAATGACTTATGTATTGCACAATTATACATTGCCCTCCTAGCAACGCAACATTAAGTAATCCAGGCCAACTCAAATTACTGACTAGTGATAGATAATCATATTTCTTTGAGGTACAAAATACAATGAATGAGCAAAATGAAGGTTGCATTAATGGTAAAGATCTCTGAAGAAACCATTACAAAAAGATTAAACATGTGGGAGAATCCGAACAAATTTTGATTTTATTTTTCTGGACCACTGAGAGTTATACATTACGGTCTTACGTAGGTAGATTGAATTCTAACAATCGTCCTTTCAAGAACCTTCCCTAATTATTGGTCCCCTCAAACGTAATTCTTACGTCAAATCCCAACAAATTGATAATCAAAACTTTCAACATTTTTACAATTTTTGATGTTCAATTTATTGTTCAAATGCACTACAATGTGTCACAACAATATCATCACTAAGTCCAAAAATGATCAANTTTTTTACAATTTTTGATGTTCGATTAATTATTCAAATGCACTACAATGTGTCACAACAATATCATCACTAAGTCCAAAAATGATCAAGTTTATAACTGGTTGTACTTTTATCATTTGATTATACACTTTAAAGATGAGGGCGAGCCTTGACACAACGATAATGTTACTCTATTGTGACTTAAGCTTAAAAATTTGAGTTATATAAACAATCTCTCTGTTTGCAAGAATAAAATTGCATATATCTTATTATGCTTAAATCTGTAGTGACCAAACCTGATTGCATGTAGCATTGTGCACTAAGTTGCCCTTCCTATTATACACATAATAAACAATTGGGGTTTAACCATATGCATGCTATTTAAATATCCATATAGATTAGGTCAAGAAATTTTGAAATTGTTTTAGAGACGATTGTGTGGATAGGATCATTTAGCCAGTAGGGTCTACTGTAAGACATATTGCATAGTCATGGCGCATTAGGTTTCTCTCACTCCGTCGTCTTGATGTTGATAGATATTGTTCATTAGTAGCATGTAGAGGAGCCAACTTGCATACAAGTGGAATGATGTCGTTCTCTAACTACAACAACCAAAGACCTTGTCTTTCCTAGACTTATTTATCTTGGTTAGAGTTATGTTTCAATTAAGTCCGATTGTTCAAATCCGTTAGCAATTCTAAAGGAAATAGTTACAATAATGTCACAAGCGTTAATTAGAGAGTAAATTTTTATTTAGTCGATACTAATGCCATCATTTGTGTGTTTTAACTGCATGTGATGACTCTTATGTTCTAACTCGCTTGTATTTATTTACAAAAATTGATCTCTATTACTGTGGTTCGTGGCTTTCATGTTATGCTTTTCTGTTATAATTGTTGTTGCATTTGGATGGTATTAGACTAGATTGAGAAACATC